TTCAATTATTTGCTTTTTTTCGTTGCCTTTGATTTACTGTCTTTATTGAATCATTTAATTTTTATATTCTATTCAATCTATTTATTATTTTTAGAATATTTCCTCAATAATTAAAACATGATAAATCTGATTTTTAGATTAAAAATAAATCTAAAAAATAAAAACTCAAGGTTCATAGCTTAAAAATATTTTAAGCTCAAATCAAAATACAATAATAAAAAGTAAAGAATAAATGAAATTATGATATATAATGAAATAATGCTAATGTCAAAGTATTTTGATGATATTAATGATTTTATTAATTTAGAAATTGAAATTAAAAAATTCAATAAAATATATGATAATTTAATTGAAATATATTTCATTTCATTCATTATTCAAGAATATTATTTCATATCACTGAAACAATTTATATTTATGATGAAGAATATGAAATATTTAAAGATGAAAACATTTAAAGAGGTAATATGGTACGAGGTTGAATATTCAAATTTTTTTTAAAAGAGAAAGAATAAGAAAATGAATGTGAAAATATAGAATATTGAAATACAATACCTATAGATGTCAAATAAATTGAATATCTATGTTTTAGTCAATGGTAGTTATTAAAGTCATTTAATATTCCATTATTTCCATCATTTGAAATTGATGTTTTGAAGGATGTTAATATGAAGAAGAGTTAAAGAAAAATGAAAATACAAAGAGGAATGTAGCAATAAAGAAAGAAGACAAATGATTTGTTAAAAAATAAAAAGAAAAATCATTTTATAATTTAATTGATAAGAAATATAAAACAACTAAATCAATTATTAATAAAATAAATAATGAAATAGCAAATAAATGAAATGTAATAAAATCATTTATCATTTAATTAATTATTATGTTATATTTATTTTCATTTACTCTATTTCATGTGGTTTATTTGTTTTAACACTTTGACTTGATGAAAATAATAAAAAGAAAGTTATTAAATGGTATTACATTTATTTTCTATCGTTCTTTGCTCATCAGAGATTAGCTACATCTTGTAATTTAAGACTTTTATTCACCAACTATTCATTTGTTTTTTTTTTCATTGTTGATAAGCTCGAGTTTCTTATCTTCTTTCTTTTATTTTGGCTAAATTCTTTTACCGCCAACATGAATATCATTTTCTTTAATAAAACCCGTATTATCAAATATACTTACATTCTAACAAGTACGTAATACTATCGTCTTTACAAATACTCATTCTTCTATTTTAACAGATGACTCTCAGTCATCAATAATAATCCCTGCTATTATTGCAATATTGAATAAGATGTTTTCTAATTAATGGCAGCTTCATAAATAAATGATAAGCGTGACTCAGCTCACTGAAATATTGTAATGTGTGTATGACATTTCTAACATACAACCTTTCAATTCATTTCATCTTGTTTAAATAAAAAATAAAATAAAAAGAAAACAATTGATTTAATACAGCAATATTATTTATCATTACATTATCTAACTAACAACCATGTGTGTCATCATTATCACAAAACTCACCACCATGTTCACAGAACCCACATTTTTTGGTACTTGAACACCATCCACATTTATTATTTAAACAAGTCTTTTCATTAGTTTTTGTTTCACAAGATTTAAGTGTAACTTTGCCATAACTTACTTTAATAAGTCCTGAACAAACAATATAAAATTCAATGTCATTAGTAGAAATGTCGTCAGAAACTATTCCTCGGACAGTTGGTGAAACAGAATTTGGAGTTGAACTTGAAGGCATTACTATAGTTAAATTTTGAGGTAGTGGAATGTCACTTTGTATTTGAGGGGAAAAACAATTCCAAGGAGGGGATGATAATACCATTGGGGTTATTGGCTCATTAGGACGAATATTTACATGATAAGGTTTGTTCATTTCTCTAATATTTAAAGAAATAAATGGTTGAAAAATTGTTAACAATATAGAACATATTATAGTTAATATAAATGATAAAATAAACAATGATATTGTAAATGAAAATTTCCAATGCAACTTTGGTGATATATGAAGGATGTATGTAACTGCAGCTAACAAAGTAAAGAATATAATATAAACTGCTGTCATAATTAACCCACCATATCCTAATAAAATTGATATTAGAAGAGAGACATGAATAAGAGTTAATATAGAAAACCAAACAAAGAATTGAGATTTTAACCAACGTAATTTCATAATCCTAAATACAAAGAAATCTTTTAATTGTTTTCTCTGAGCAATAACCACTGTCCAAAGAACAATTGTAACAACAACTAAAACTCCAAGAGTAAAGAATAAGTATGGAACAAAAAATGGAATAACTATACTCAAAATACTAAACATAATTCCCATTAATAACACCACTATTGGTGGTCCAAATATATCAAACGTTAATAATGTTGAAGCTCTTGATTCTTTTTCAAGAAAGATATGTTTCCCTTTTTCTTCCATTAACATTTGAAGTTGTAAAACAGCGTCTTCCACAATTTGAGATAATTCAGTATATTCTTTTCTTGATGAATTTTCTAAACTTACTGAATTATCATGAATAGTTTTTAATGCCTCTACTATGTATGGAATAACACCTAAATAGTCAACGCTCAAATTACCACTTTCATCTTTTTGAACTAAGTCTGGAATAACTTCTTGAACTTCTTGTGCAATAAACCCATATTTTATTTTATTTGGCTCATTTTTATAAGCATATTTTTTACCAACTAAAGAAGTAACTGAATTTAACGCATTTTCAATTGTTTGAATATCTGTTTTAGACCTAGCATCAGAACGAACAAGATATCCATTTTCAGCAAATATTTCACCAAAAACATGTAACCGTTTTAGTTGAGTAGTTATTTGTTCTATTTTAATAAAGTCTGAGTTGTCTTGAATAATATTGGGGTTCTGTTGATTTGTTTCTTCAATAGCAATTGTTGCAGTCGGTTGAAATTGTTGAATTGGTTGATCAGTTGGAGGAATATGATAGTTATTTGTAATAAATTGATTACTAAATTGATACTCAGATAAGAATGCAAAGGGATAATTTGATTCAGAGAGTTGTTCAGGATTATTTGTTATTCTTGATGGAGAAGGGACAGATATTTCATTTGATTGATTTGGTGAAGACATTTCTATTTCACGAGCACCATTAGAAGTTTGGTCAGGAGAAATAGTATAAGTCATATTTTGTTCAGTTTTTAAAGTATTTTGTTCGTTAATTGGAATTTGTTGAATTACTTCATTTAATGAATTTTGTTGCTTTGTTTCGCTACTTCCCTTTTCTTTCGAATTAGGTTTTTCAACTAATTGAATCATGTACTTTTCACAAAGACTTTTCATTGGTGTTTTATTTTGTGTTTTTTTGAATGCAGTTGTTGGATACATGTCAGGATAATTTTGAGTATAGTATTGACGTAAATGAGCATCCCATACATGGGCATAACAATTGAATCGAGTTTTTACTGGCTCATTACAATTAGGAAAAACACATTTCCAATTTTTCTTTCTTTGTTTTTGTGTTCTTGGGATTTCTTCTGAAGAGACAAGCATCACCCCATTTTCTGCTTCAATCAAAGCATCATGACCTTGCATAGGTATTAAAATATTAGTTTTTTATTTTTTAGTTTTATTTTATTTTTTCCTTTTTTAATTCAAAAATCAACTTCTTTCTTTAATTTCCTAGTTTTTCTCACATAACAGACGTTTGATGAAATAAAATTTTTCGTTAATGATAAATTTTATAAAAAAAAAATAAAAATTTTTCACATGATTTGTGTTTTTTTAATATGAACATCTTTTCATATTAACTTATCAATTTTTTTGTCCTTTCAATAAAAGAACTATAAATCTGTTATTGAATTAAAATGAGTGAAGGAAAAACACTTCCAACACAAGGAAATACAAGAACAATGAACATCGATTCTATTTTATTTACAAATATTACTCATTCTGATTATATGTTTAAAACTTTAGGTTCAATTCATTCAATTTCAGACCTTATTGATATTATCATAAATGATGTTCATTACATAAGCCCATATATCCAAAAATCCAGTTCATCTCCTTCGACCGCTTTTTGTGTTTTATTAAGATTATTTCAATTAAATCCAACACCAGATGACATTAGAATGATGAGTACTCATTCAAATAAATATGTTAGGTGTATTGCTGCATTAATAATACGTTACAGTATACAATTCAATTTATTACTCTCATACCTTAAACCGTTTGTTGATGATCGTGCTGTTGTTAACATATCTCTTCATGGAGAAAAAACAAAACAAATAAAATGTTTAGTTAAAGACTTAATTCTTGAACCAAAATTTGAAGGGTGTATTCTTCCTCGTATTCCTCAAGTTTATTACAAACCTCTTTTAGACTTTTTTAAAGGAACTTCTCAGCCTAATTCTCATGAACTCGATGAAGACAGTCTTACTTCATTTAGTGATCTTAAAAAGTTTGTTCAATATTCTGACCATCACCAACGTGAGCGTTCAAGATCTCCACCTTCAAATTTAAGATATTCTCGTTCCTGTAGACAAAGAAGTAGTTATAGAGAACGAAGCCGTTCTGATTCACGTGAACGAAGAAAAAATTATTATGAAGAGAGAAGATATGATTCAAGAAAAAATTAAAGAGTCGTTTTAATTGATTGTTTGACATTATTTGTTATATAAAACATAATATAAATAAATTCGCATTTTTAGAAAAGAACTTAAAATGGTTAATGGTTTGGTTGTTGTTATTTATTTCTACTATTTATGCAAATAACTGTGAAAATGGTATTTTGATTAACTCATTGCCATCTTCTTTTTCTGTTTATAATTTCAATACACTTTATATTGACGATGTTCCATATTATGGTATTATAACAAATGTTCATTTCTCTAACAACCAGCAAATTGTAATTTCTACTTGTGACTCAACAAGTTCAATTGCAACATATATTTATGAAATTATTAATTGTTGGAACAATAATGAATTAATATATAAATCTCGTTCAAGTGGTGGGTGTGGCATCTATTCAAGATATAGTTTTAGTGTTGAAGCAGATAAAAATTATTCATTTTTTATTTGTTCAAAAGTTCAATCTTCTTTTTCATTATTATTTTTCAATCGTTTGTTGTTTTTTTGGTAAGTTTTAGTGTTTTGTTTATTATAAGTATTTATCATATAAAGAAGAAGATTTAACAAATACACCTTATTTTCATATCCAATCTCTCCCATTTTATCATGAAAATGAAATAAATTCTATTAACCCTTCTGTTAACGAAGATTGTATTCATGACGAGTATGGCTATTGGTATACATTTAAAGGAGATGGAAATCAAATCAACATATCTTTATGTAACTCTTTTAGTAATTTTGATACTTTAATAACAATAATGAAAGCTACTGAAACAAATGGAGTTATAACAAAAAAATGTTTATTACAAGATGATAATGGTTGTAATGAAAATGGATTATCATTCTTACAACTAAATACAACATATAATACTTTGTATTATATTTTCATTTCTAGTGTTCATAAGTCGACTGGCTCATATTTCCTTCAAATCACCCCATACAAAAAACAGTTCTTTTGTCAGAACCCAAGAAAGACTGTTCTACCTCAAACCATTAGTACTACTATTGCACAAGATGATCCTATTACTATTGACCCAAGTGGAGATTATCATAGAGGATTATGGATGACAATGGATGGATATAATCTTATGATTTATATTGACGCATGTCCAACAACAGACTTGGATTGTCATATTATTTTAACATCAACAATTGACTGTATAAAAGAACAAACATTAACGTATAATACAGAACGAGGAAATGGGTTTTGTTCTGCTTCATTTTATGGAAAAAGTAGTCAAACATATAGAGTAAAAGCATCTTCAACAAATGCTACAACATGTAACTTACATATTAAAATGTATGGTTTGTAATATTTTAATTTTTAAAATGAATATGACTAATTTTTAGAAACAAATGAAGTACCTCAATCATATAATATTTGGCTTTTGATTTGTACTGCAATATTTGGTGCACTTATTATTATCACTGCAACATCGTCAATAATCTATGCAATTATTAAAAAGAAAAGAATGAAAGCATCTATTCCAGACGTTGAACTCCAAGTGATAACAAATAAATAAATGACTGTTTATTATAACATTAAAAATGAACTTTCAAAAACTGAATTACAAAGACTTGAACCCAAATTCTTTATCTAAGTCTTCAACAAGAGAATGTAAAGGAACAACATCTTCTTTTCCCAACATTTTATATTGACGGCAAAATGCATAAAAATGTTTAAATCCTCGAAGAGCAATTCCTTGAATACCAAGTTGTTCTAAATGTTCCATATGATTATAAAACATATGAGCATATACTCTAAATAATCGTTTGAATATTTTCCTTACTGTTTCTGCAAATTGTTTTGGTGGTTTACTTGTAAATTCAGCTGGAAAAATAGAAGTATCATCAAAACAATTTTGAACCCATGTAAATAACTTTTCACAATACTCTGGAGCACTTAATTTTACTGACTTATTATTTTCAATCCAAACATATTCCATTTTAGGACCAGCATTCATTACAGGACATCTTGTTGTAGTACATAAAGCAGTAATAGATGAATATGTTAAATTAATTTCATTAAATAAGTCAAAACAATTAACAGCAACCCAATCATTAATATTTTGTCCAGGTGGGCATTTAACAGCATGAAGAATATCTCCTTTATTAACTCCATCTTTAATTTTTATGTGAAGTTCATGTCTAACTGTTCCATGTGGTAATTTTTTGATAGGTTTCATCGTAACAATCTTCTTTCGTCCAAACATTTCACTTTTCACAATGAATTTAATTTTTTTAGATGAACTTTTCTTTTTTTTAGAAATGTCTAAAAGAAAAATTCTTTCAGGAGATTGAAGTTTCTTATTCATTTGAATAAAAAGGAAATTTTTAATTTTAGGATATTAGTAAATTACAACAGATTCAATGTATAAAGAATAACAACACTGAAAATGGCAATGGATGTAAGAAATACAAGTATTGAAATCGATATAAACACTGTTTTAGGTGCATAAAATAAGCAACTTTGTCTTTCCCTTTTTGAATAATGTTCTAATAGGAATACTTTCTCAGAATCAGAGTCTTCTATTGAATTTAAAGTAGGGCTTGAGGGAATTAAAATTGGTGTAACAATAGATCTATCACTATACATAACTTTATATGATGGAGTTCTACTTTTGAGGGTTTAAAAGTATATTAATCGGAATTTTCATGATATTTTTGTATTTTTATTCAAATAAAACTATTTTTGAATCATAACTTTACTATTCAGTCTTTTGTGTGTCTCATTATCTGTCATTTCGTGAATTTAGTTGATTAAATTTTACTTCAAATTCACTCTAACTAACTTAATTCTATTTCTTTTTTTTCCTTTAAACTATCTTAAGAAACTTAATTATTTGAAACGTTACTCACTCTAGACTATAAAAGTATTGGTGCACAAAGTCAATAAGTTCAATAAAACATGAATAATAAAGAAAAGAAGAATTTAAAGAGATAAAGAAAAGAAACATTCAAAAAAAGAAATAAAGAAATAGTAAATTTATATAATATAATTATAATAAAATTTAATAAAAATTAGTTAATTTAGTGTTAATTGAGTCGTTTATCTATTATTCTTTCCTTTATTGAAAAAACTACTTTGTGATTGGATCTACAGAGTGTTTTTTGTTGAATTAATATTCCATGACATACATCGTGTTGTTAATTACAATTCCTTTTTATTATTTTTAGTTTTAATTTCATTTTTTAAAAACTTTATTAATTTATTATTCTTTGTATGTACTGAGTCATTTATTGTAACTACTAATGGATTATTTTATCTCATTTTATCTTATTTCTTTTATTCAAATACTTTCCATTATATTTAATCTATTTCATCAAAACCATTCATTTGATTTTA